AAAAAAAAAAAAAAAAAAAAAAAAAAGCTAGATGCAGATGCAGCTACCGGATGGGCACGGCCCTCGGTCTTCTCAACGGACAAGCCACGCCCGCGCTCCCCCCAATGCAGTAACCGCGACTCAACACGGGTATCTACTTACCTTTCATTCTTCTGGTCCTTCTTTCTTTCCTTCTTTCTCTCATCTGGCCTCTCGTCTTCCTCCGTGTTCAACCTCGACCTTTTCGTGTGGCCGGCAGCTCATCCTGCAGAGGCTCAGCCAGCGGAGGACCAGATCGTCATCGACCCACCGTGAGAATTTTTTAGTTTCAGCTTCGCGTCCATCGGCACTCTAGTTGCTGTTACTACTGCTGCGCTGCTACGTGCGTCTATCTGCAACCAGACAGCTCTCTCATTCCCAGTCACGATGCGTTTGGACGGCGTTGCCCCTCCGCCTGATGCGGTTGAGCCCAAGAGTCAGCGGGAGAAGGATGAGGACGTGGAGGACCTCAAGGCTATCGATAATGCGCCTGAGGTGGACGCCTTTGGTGATGAGGCTAATGCGGAGGTCAAGTACAAGACCTTGAAGTGGTGGTAAGTGCTTCTGTCGTGCCTGATGATAGACGACAAGCTAATGGCGCTAGGCAATGCGGAATGTGTATGTGATCAGGACGATAACTTTACAAATTGCGAGATACTAACCAGCATAGTCATGATTGCCGAATCCGTGTCGCTCGGTGTCTTGTCTCTTCCGGCTACCATGACGGCCCTGGGTCTTGTTCCGTAAGTCAGCGCCTCGATGCTTCCGCACTGCGACTAACCGGTGCAGCTCTCTCATCCTCATCATCGGTCTCGGTATCCTCGCCCTTTACACTGGTTATGTCATTGGTCAATTCCGTGAACGCCATCCTTACATCCACAACCTCGCCGATGCGGGAGAGATCCTCATGGGCAGCTTTGGTCGGGAGTTGTTCGGACTGGGCCAGATTCTCTTCTCCATCTTCATCATGGGTAGCCACATCGTCACCTTCACCGTTATGATGAACACCATCACCGATCACGGTACCTGCTCCATCGTGTTCAGTATCGTTGCATTCGTCATCTGTCTCGTTCTCTCTCTGCCTCGCACTATCAAGAACTTGACCTACATCTCCACTGCCTGTAGGTTTCCGTTACCCGTTTGTGCAGGGCGACGCTAATGGATTCAGCCTTC